CCCCCGTCCCGGTGCCGGTGCCGGTCCCGCAGTCCCCGGGCCGGGCCGAAGGGCGCTGAGCGCAGACCCCGCCCGCCACCGCCAGGGGGCGCGGCCGCGCCAGGCCCCGCCCACCCCGCGGGCCGCTCGCTGCTGATTGGCGGGAAAAGCCCCCCTAGAGCCGTTCGGCGCGCGTGCCGCGCGGGGGCAGCATCGGCGCCGCGGATTGGCTGGCGCGGCGCGGCCAATGGGAGCGGGCGCTGTTGGCGTGTGCGGAGGCGGGAGCCGCTCCGGGCCGTGAGGGGAGCGCGGCCCGGGGAGGTCTCGGTGCCCGCGGGACCGGCTCCGCCTCCGCTGAGCACCCCGTGCTCTCCGGGACTCGCTCCGCCTTCGCCAGCTCCTCGGTGCCCGCGGGGACCGGCCCGGTCTCTCCGAGCTCCCGGCTGCCATCAAGGACCGACCCGGCTCGCTGAGCCCCCGGTGCCCGCAGGGCCTGGCTCCGATCCCGCTGAGCCCCCGGTGCCCGACATGGGGATGCTGACCCAGCTAGTCCGCGGGCTGGTGCGCGGCGCCGACCGCTTGTCGCCCTTCACCAGCAAGCGCGGCCCCCGGAGCCACAACAAGGGCCGCGGTGCCAAGAAGGTGGGCGTGCTTACCCGCAACAAGAAGTTCCTCCTCGTCAAGGAGATGGTGCCCGAGTTCGTCGTGCCCGACCTGACGGGCTTCAAGCTGCGGCCCTACGTGTCGTACCGCGCCCCCGAGGGCTCCGAGCCGCCCGTGACGGCCAAGCAGCTCTTCGACCAGCTGGTGGCTCCGCGCATCGAGAAGGATGTGAAGGACGGCACGTTCGACCCCGACAACCTGCAGAAGTACGGCTTCGAGCCCACGCAGGAGGGCAAGCTCTTCCAGCTCTTCCCCAAGAACTACGTGCGGTAGGCAGCGGGCAGTGATACCGCCGGCCAGTACGGGACAGACTCCGTCACTGAACGTCACAGCCAATCCTTCTGCCTTGTTTTTCTCTAATACCTGATTTAAATCCGGGTGACACCTGCGGTTTGATTTCCCATCCGTGTCTGGTAATTCCTCTGGGAGACAGTTGTGCCTGCTGAGCAGAGCCTCTCTGAGGTTCTGAGGATGAGGGGTCTGTGATGTTTCTAAATACAAAGTACTGCAAAGTTTAAGAATTAAAGTTTAAAAATTAATTTAAGACTGAAAGCGTTCACTTTGGGAGAAAGGAAGCGAGATCAGTGGATGATGGTCTGTGATGGTCACTTAGTCTGGAATAAGGGCTGCCACATGAGTCCTTACTGTGGAGGTTAAAACCCCCACATTTTCGGGGCTGTGCAGCCCCGATCCCAGAAGGATGAGCTGTGGTCAGGGATCAGCCACAGTGGGAATGGGGAAGGCACAGCTTTTCTGACTGAACTGTGCATTTCTCACCTCCTGTGAAGCCGGTCAGAGCAGTCACACTCAAGTGGCTGCTTCCTGCTTTGCTGCTGTTGGCAGAGGAGCCCTTCAGCCCTTCCCTTCTGAGACTTGCTGCCAGCCAGGGCACTTGGCAGGTGGCTGGAGGGGGAAGCAGGGCTGGAGAGCAGATCCTGGGCCCTTTGCTGCCAATTCCAGCTTGCTCTTGACCACACCATTTGCCTCTCACCCCATGTGAAGGCAGATAATAACTGGCTCGCCTCATTCCCCTGAGCAAAGCAAGGCCTGGCCTAAAGCTGAAACCAGGCTGGCCCAGTTGGTGTCACCGCTGCCCTCGGGCTGTTCCCTCTCGTCCTCACAGGGCAGTAAAAGCATTACAACCTTTAAAACATGCAGGGACACACCCTCGGTTTTCCCAGGAAACTGGATTGTCCACTGTGACTCCCAAAGAATATTCACCCCTTGGACTCGAGCCAGGCCAGGGCACAAGGTCCTCATAAGGACTGTCAAGTCATTTGATTTTTAAAACTCAAAACAACAACAAAAAAAAAGATAAATCACTTATATTTGTTTTATTTTAGAAACATCCAAAAATAGCATGTTTTTTCTTTAGCAAAAGCTCTTGTTTTCATTACTAATATGAATCTTCATGTAACAGTGCTCCAGAGTGTTTGCTAAAATACACATTCACCCTTGAGGAGGGCATCTCAAAGCAGCAAAGTTCTCACCTGCTGCACCTCATTTAGTTGCAGCACTGTTACACAGAGACCTGTTGCTGGTGTTTCTTTCCCTCCAAACAACTCATTCTTTAGGACCCTCAAAAGACAAACCATGCAAACTAAAAGTTACTGATCTAGTTGAAGCTGGTTTTTTGTTTCTAGGAATAGAGAAAATGTTCCACAAAAGGTGTTTTGCTGATATTTCACAGTGAAAAAAAGCTAATGGAGCAACCATGAAAAATCCTGCAGCCATTCCTGGAGGTAGTTAGGGCAATGCTGTTAAGATTTTGGTTTCTTAGATTTAGAAAGATGTCAAGAAACACCGCTTAAACTTTTTGGAGGTTTTGATCTTAAAGCTGTTCACCTTTTAAAAACTGAGTTTGACTTTGTTGACTTTGGGCCTAGAGGTGGTTCTGTGGAGAGCAGAAAGAATGAGCTGAATACTGAGAGGCCGTGGGGGTGTTTGAATGGCACTAAAACATGGTGGGGTCACTACAGGATTTATCTGATCCAGGGTGAGCTCAGCTGGGAATGATGAAGGAGTTTGCAGTCAGGTGATGAGTGATGGAAAATGATGGAGAAGCACCAAGATCCTCACAAGGAGGATCCCACAGCACTTCCCATCACACAGTCTGCACTTCCTTCTGAACCAGAGCTTCTCTCTGATAAACATCACTGTGAGCACACTGCACTGCATCTGGGCTGTCTGAGCTCGTCTCCCATCACACAGCCAAGCCTCTGCTCAGGGGCTTTTCTGAGACATTCAGGAAACCTTCTGATCACTTACTGGGTCTGCACAGCAGCACAACCAAGTCTGGTTTGTGAGGGAAGGAGGAGAACGGGCTTAACAGATCCATTGTGAAATGCAAACCAGCCTTGAAAGGATTCAGATCTGAGGTACAAAGCAGCAGCCTGTGAGAGGAGGGCTGTTCCACTTGGAACTAGGACATTAAGGAAAAACTAAATAAACCTGTCTGGTCAAGACCACAGGCCTCTAAGCTTCTCTGTGCTGAAACTAAACCACCAGGAATCCCAGCAGTGTTGGCCTTGAAGGACTCCCAAGCTCAGCAGTAAGATGGGAAAGCCCAGGAGTAAGGGCAGAAGTTGGGGCATTAAGTTCAGCTGTCACTCTCGTTCAGGAGTCATCCTCCCTCTTCCATTGGGACTGGTCAGTGCAAACTTTCAGCTGTTCTTTCACGTGGAGATCTCGGACTTTGCACATCTGGAGGGGTCACCAGGCTCATCTCCCACTTCCAGACATGGAGGATGTTGTCATAGAAAGAACAAGTGGCCACAATGCTAGTTTCTTTGGGGCTGTCTGGAGACCTGGCTGAGTCACTGCCTCTGTCCAGGCCAATTCCATTGGGTCTCTTGGCTCCTGAGTCAGAGCCACTGGCTGACCCTGGATCTGCCACTCGGGCAGCCAAATTTAAACCTCCCTTTAAACCAGAGCCCCTGACCAGTCCAGGATCCCCAGCCAGCTTTGGCCCTGGCCCTGCTGTGTGTGCCACAGCAGGGCTTTCACTCTCCTCATCCAGGATTACATCAAAAGTAGCTGTAGGAGACTCATAAATTATCTTCAGGTTCTGGACCTGCAAATTCAGCCTCTCGTCTCCTTGCCCTGATGCTCCCACGAGCTCCTCCAAAGGCTGGCACGCAGCAGCAAGGTCCTGGCTTGCAGGCAAGGAATCCCTCGGACACAGCCTTGACCAGTCAGCCCCATAGGCCAAGGAATTGTGCAGGACATAAGATGACAGGATGATACATTCCTCTGTGTTTTCCGCTTAAAAAAAAGAGAAATTAAATTACTTAGAAAACAAGTTGTGGGTGTGGCAGAGTGCTCAGCAGCCATTCCAGCATTGGCTGTGTGTCATGGGAAGAGTTCTCTGGTTACTGCTTTCTTCACCACTAAGTGAAGCATTCCAGGAGGAATGAGGTGCTGACTATCTTTCAGCCACCTCTCAATGGCCTTGCTTCTTCCTGGGTCAGCAGCAGAGGAGAAGAGGGTTTAATATGCAGAGATTAAAGAGCATCATTATTCAGAGTGCCTACAAAGGCTCAAGACAGACACGACTGATCACACCACAACATTCACCTAGTCATGAACACACCTGGGGGATTGCCAGGTCCTGGTTATTAATACACTGCAGATGTTCTTCCTGTCAGCTTTCAGCATTTGATTCTGACAGTAAGTGGACATCAAGTTCCTTCCTTTCCCACACAGGAGAAATGCCATTCTCATTTCCTAAGCTGTTGATCTGGCCAAGGTCTGGAGAACCGAGGAAGCCAACCATCCTCTGTCAGACTGCATTTGTAATGTGAATGCAAACTACTTTTTCACCATGAAGTACCTCATGATTCACATGAAGGGTTTATTCATGTTATTCTAGATTAACCAGGCTGCAAAGCACTTCCTTCCTGAGGCAATAACTGATTCCACAGCAGGTCAGTAACTCCTGCTAAGAGGAAAGCATCACCTGACAGTTGGAAGCACCTCTCTGAACCATCACAATGAACACAAACCCAGAGTGGTTGTGCCCTCACACCAAACACAAAGGCTTTCCTCCCATTAAAAGAAATTATGAGAGATTTACACAGATACTGTCAGGGCCTTGGCACAACCAAGCAGGCCAAGAGAGTGCACAGATGTGGAAAAGCTGGAAGTTACCTCAAACTGGAATAGAAATCTATGGCTCAAATCCTTCCTAATGCCTGCCATGAAGCTGGAGGCAGCGAAGGGAAGGGGCACAGCAGAGCAGACCTGGAGCACCTCTGTTCCCTGGACACTCACCCAGGCTCCCGCGGCAGTCGAGGATCTTGAAGCCACTCTGCATGCAGGCTGCCAAGAGCACGAAATCACACGTGGGGTGCCACTTCAGCCTCCACACCCCACCTTCCACGTGGGTGTCAGCCAGCGGCTGCCTCATATTCCTGGTGTCCCACAGCAGCACGTGCTCGTCATAGCTGGGGACACGCCACAAACAGGCAGAAAAGCACAGCCAAGTCAGGGCACAGAAAAAAAGGTAGGAAAGACCACATGCTCTGCACCACACAGAATTTCTGCAGAGGCAGCAGCAGGTTCAGGTAATAGAGGAGGTTGGTCACACAAGCTAAAAGGGACTCACCTTCCTGTGGCCAAGAGATTCTCCCGGTGGGGACTGCACTGAATGCTGCACACACCCATGGAATGTCTGCAGAGGGAAGAGACAGAAATTCGAGAAGGGCTTCTGCCGTGAATTTCAAGGATTTTGAGTCCACATTATTTCATCAAGGTGTCTCAGGAGAGGTAAGCTCAAAATTTCACTTCAGTGACCTACCCAAGTATTTTTATCTACACAGTCCAACAGCCTTCCCAGGGACAAAACCTCTACTCACACCATCTCTCAGCACACGTATTTTCTAGTAATATTTGCCCCATGAACTGCTGCTCAAAGGCCCAAAGAACTCCAGCAGGACAACTCCATCCCCAGGAGACTTTACTCCCAAAATTAGTATTTCCATAGCTGTAGTCCCCAGTGTAATTTAAGTTTACATACAGAATTCCACTGGAGAGCTGCGTATATTGTTTTAACCATTTTTAAAAGTAAGAGAGAAAAGAGATCATTTCAAATAACTAAACAGTGGAGAACAAAGTATTTTCTAAAAAACATTCAATAATAATATATCCAAATTTAACAAACAGAAAAATTGCCAAAATAAAAGTGTAAATCAGGATCCTTTTTTAGAAAGAAATTACCACCTTCTTCACATGTGGAGGTCAGCTCTTGGGTTATTGTGTAAAAGGACATAGAGAAGAAAGTTTCAACCTGAAGTTGTACTGATGAAAAAAACTTCAGCAGATGCCTCCATTT